GTATTTGTAAGCGAAACGAGTCCAGTCGTAAACCTGCTTTATTTGATCCAGGTTTTTATGGTGAGAAGCGTCTTACTATCCAACGATTTCAACCGGAGTCATAATCGACACATAAGACGGTTTTCCACCAATGAGAACAACGAGTTTGGAGGAAAAGAATTTGATTTGTTTCGGACAAATCAATTTGGAGCATTGTAGATGTTATCCTTTGGAACAGACGAGTTCAATTGCCCGCTAATTTCGCAAGAGGCGAGCGGAAAATAATTTGGTCTAAGAGTGTTTTGTCCCATCGCATACAGTTTGAGGAACCGACCACACTAATGCGTTTTAAAAGTATCCGTTTTCGTCTCAACGAAAACGAGGCAACATGTTTTCGACCACACTGGCGTCACTAATCCGTTTTCGTATGAAAACACACTTTTTGATGCGCTTTCACCTATCTTCCACACTAAACGACCGAAAACGCTGTTAGAAACAAGAGTATATGACGCTTTTTTCGACACCGTTTTTAAATGCCTCCATTTTCACGCACCTCTCCACACGAGAAACGGTGCGTTTTCAAAACGATGCATTTTCAAAAGGCTCCCCTTTTGAAACCGTTTTCGACAGCCTCCGTTTTCATCAGCGACCCGACCCCATTAATCCGTTTTCAAGAAGTTGCGTTTTTATACGAAAACGGATTAGTGGGGTCGGGGCCGGAATGGACGCTCGTTGTGCACTTAATCGAGTTCAAGTTTGTTTCGTCGCAAAGTTGCAGCCAATAAGCTCTGCAATGTTTTGTGGTTGGTTTTGAAATTATTTCTCTTACTACTTCTGCTGCGTTTAGAGTTGTCTTGCATGAGATTTAAATTTGTGATGTTTAAATAGTCCTTGCTCAGAGATGTTTTGAGCAAGAAGGCGGCATGCTCAGAGTGTCAGATTTACTTGTTGCTGGTTCGATATTGATTTGTAGCTGGACCGGACTTTGCAGTCGAGTTGTAACTACTTGTTTAGTGTCATCATGTTGCTGGACCATGAAAAGCAGTTTCGTAAAGAAGAATCTTTGTATAGAATATTTACCTTATTAGCATAAGCGATACAGTTTCTGTTGGAGCTACAAAAACATTAGTTCTGAATATTGAAAGGGCACAGCACGATTCAACTGTCCCAAGGAATTTGAAGGCGATGTACTGACTACTTTTTGTGCGACACGGGTTTAAAAAACTCAAAAGTTTACAAGAATGTATAAGCTCATTAGCGCTTTTCCCTCCCACAAAAATTTTTCTGATTTTGAAAGCCAATTTCTCCTCGAAAAGTACAGCCAAAGAACCAAAAATATCACCAATTAGTAAGTTTCACAGGTTCTATAAATGTTTGTAGTCACTTCGTGTCTAGCGTGATGCCTTCTCTACGCAGAATCGTATGTTTATGACGAAAAAGGTAGACAATGACATCAGCAAAGATTCGCCGATATTAATTGCCAGCCGATCAAGATCATATTTTCCAACGATCAGCAGCTAGTCGCACTGCTTCAGCGTGATTCGCGAAATAAAATCAAGAACAAACTCAGATTCTTTAGTTAACTCGTTCTCTGATTGGTAGGAAACTCCCAGGTGACCCCGGTTGAAGCCATTGCACTGTAATTTGCTATTATTTACCCTCTCCTCCAGGGTTCTAAAGGAGTAGAGGGCCCTCCTGGCATTCCAGGCCCACCTGGAGACCCAGGACCACCAGGCTACCTAGGCAAAAAAGGACCACAGGGGTACCAAGGACAAAGGGGCTCTAGGGGCTCTCCAGGAGACTCGGGCCCGATCGGAAATAGCGGGGAAGACGGTATCCAAGGGGGCCCTGGCTTCGAAGGAGAAGAGGTAAGGGACGTCCTATGGTAGAGCAATAAAACAGGAAGTGGAAATGATTGCTCTACATAATTTTGGTTGTGAATTTTACTGCTGTG